TTTAAAGGGGTGTATATGTGGGTGTGTGGCAGTTTCGGAAGTCCATATTATTCATTAGTTTTTAATATAATCTGTGACAGACAGTACATGTCCAGGTGCTGGTTGCTATAGTTTGACAGAGGCAGGCTAGCAGTGCCCCTGTGTCCAGTTTTAATACTTCACTAAGCTATAGCTGCTGGCTCCCGTTATGAATATATTGTACAGATCTGAGAACTAGTGATGCACTGATCATATCGATACCGATCTTTTTTTTTGGCTTGCATTGTTAGCAGCTAGTATAGCAGTGAAAATGCCTCCTGATTATCAGCTGATAATTATCGATTGATCAGAAATTATTATTTATTGTAAAACTCATAATCTCTGTTCAACACTAAACCTTTTTTTTTTATCCAATAATTATCACACCGTGTCCTCTCCTTTAATCTGTTTGAACTAAAGGTAATTAGTTGTTTAAATGTTTTTTCAAAATCTTTGAAAATATATGCTAACCCTACCTGACTCAGACACAACTGGCAATAGAACCTGGTGTGTGTGGTCCCCTGTTACCTTGTTGACCATGGTCCAGGCTGCTCGACCTCCGGCCGACCCTGAGCCATATGAAAATATGATTGTAATCCTTGTGAGGATTTGGCCTGTGTGTCTATTACCACTGTAATCTGTCACACTGGCATCCAATATTCCTTCCACGTCCAGGTTAAGCCCCTCTCTCTGTCTGCTCCACCCATCACCATGGGAGCGGGAGAGAGAAAGAGAGAGCGGTAGAGGGGGTCCAGTGAAGGTGTTGGCAAGACTGGAAAGAGAGAAAGAGGGGGAGGGAGAGAGAGAGGTTTTGAAATTGAGAGAGCACTGCTTCAATCAAGGCACTGGCTCGAGGTGAAGAAATCTATCGTGGAACACAAGGTCTCATTAATGCAGCAGGGATAGCTTTAACCCCCACCTCCATCCTACACACAAACACACACACCTTGCTGAATAAAGAGGTGGAAACATGGCAGAGAAATGGATGTAAGAAAACAGATGGTGTATTTCTGGGCAGGAATCCACACTGTTGATGCAATGAAATGTTCACACACAGTTGGAACCAGAGTTTTCTTTGGAATAATTCTAACAATAAATGTTTATTTCCATTTATTTCTGGATGTTTATTCTGGGCCCTGGTTTTATATGTTTCATATCATGTCACCCATGGGCCTCTTCTCTCAGGATCTCATCACTCTCACAACTTGCACCCTCCTTGGCTCTACTGCAATACTTAATGTGATACTCAGTAACACAGTAGGCACAGCACAAAACACCAGTTTTAAAACCAGAGGAATCATCTGGCATGTAGATGTTGTCATGAAACTGTTAATTTAAATTAAGATTCAATCTCACCTTTTTTGTACTATAGATAATGGCAGATCTGCACAGCAGAAGTGTATGAGAGGCCCTGAGGCTCAAAGTGTGATAGGAACAGATGAATATATCAGATGGGTTGAGTCTTGGCATTTGAAACAGTCTTAATGTGGACAAACACTTTTATTTAAGATTTTCTCTGCAGTTATAAAAACACTGCATACAAATATACATACAAAATAATAAAAAGTATTAGTTTCCAATATCAAATCACATGTATAAATGAATTTCTTCTAATGTATCTTGTCTGATCCCTTTTGAAATGAAATGTTTTAGGATAAGAACTAAAGAAAGAGAAGAGGGAAAGGTAGAAGGAGGAAAAAGATGCAGATGTTCACTATCTGGGTTACAAGTCCAAGACATCTGTCACACAAGCTGATGGGTTTGATTGGTGGGGGCCCATCTATCTCGATGGCTTGTCGGCAGTCAGGAAATTTATATTCCCCCAAGTCTCATCCTCCATCAGCGGTTACGGTGTGATAGGGCCAAGGCTGTCAGCCGCCTCGGTCATATCTTATTTTAAAACTAGGCACAGTCATAACATCAGTAACTTATCTGCTCCACACTTCTGCTGTATAAGTACAGTATATGGAGCTCAACTGTGACCGCTGCTTTGGTATCAAAGAGAGAAACCCCTCCCCAAAACACAGATTTTTATTCAGAGTTTTTTGTAAGGGTGAAACTCCTTGTCATGTTGAACAAAGAGCCACAATAAGAAAACATTCAGTGCGTTTTTTTGCCCGGGATGAAAAGTTTTATTCACATATTCAAGTGGAGAATAAATCATAAAAACATGAGAATTTCATGGTTGATGAAGTTCAGTTTCTTTGTTAAAAAATAGTGCAGCAGAGGAGCTTGACTGATAAATGATCAGTAACATGGGGCCGTCACAGAGGCACAATCAAAGATCACACAACTGCAGCTGTAGTGATTCCTTGATTTACATGTTTGAGAGCAAAATTGCCTCGGAGCTCTGACACATTGTTTCAACACTTCCCTGTGACCTAAACGCTACAGATATTGGTGGATTACGGCTATTTGTTGCTGCATTGTTGATTTTTTTATTCCTCTCTCTCACCAGCAGGTAAAATTAGCCTGAACACTTTGACAATAAAGGGGACAACGCCACAGGAATTTAGAGCAGCTTCCTGATGATTTGTGAAATCCACCCACACACAAACACATAACATGCTGGTGCACATGGACACATCTCTCTCTCACAATGCTAATAATGGGATTAAGCCATGGTGTGTTTTGGGTGTGTTGTCAGCATCTCTATTAACGCCGATTTAGCGTGACCCATCAGCTCTTGCAACCTCAGCCCTGTAACCCCCTCCTCATCCTGGTCACTTCTCATCACACTAGGATTAATAGAAACAACATTTGTCATGCTGTAATTGCCGTGCCGGGTGCTGTCAGTGATTTTAATGTGTGTCAAACCGTCAGCCCTCAGCACTGCCCCCACAGTAAAACAGGAAAATCTCAGTTTCATGAGGCCGTATACTCAGCATTTCATCTCCTTTTCTCCTCTGGGCTGACCGGTGAGGTTATTGATCTTCATAAAGGCAGTATTTTGTCATTAGGCGAGAAGCGGAGGAGACAGTAATGAAAGCTTTTTAACCTGTGTGTTCGGGGGCAGCTCCGGACAACTGGCTAAGGTTGCCAGGTGCTACACACAGCAGATTTTCAGCGCCCCAGCCGCAGGGATCGATAGGGATACATCTTTGTCTGATTACAGAGATGTGCTGGTGAGGGCAGCACTTTGTGTGTGTGTGTGTGTGTGTGTGTGTTGCAGTGATAGCTGCATCATTGGATCTCCCTGATTTAGACACAAAGGTACAAAAGGTTTCACCACAGACATGATACAGTTTCTCACATAGAGACGTACTAAGATTTATTATCTTGTTTACAGAAGCACTTTTTGGGACGGTCACACTGGTGCACTGTGGGTAAATGCTTCCCCACTTTGCTGGAACATTACCTGCTATACTTTGTTGAAATTGTACAATACCGAATTGCAAGGTTCTTTGAACACTTCCATTTGCTGCTATTTTATTCTTCAACTCCATCACATTTTCACATTTGCGTAATAGTTTTTTGCAGAAATATGTGAATTACACAAATATGAAATAAAAAAGATAATGTACCCCACAGTGAATAAAGATATTTAAAAAGTATTACAATGCAACATATTTATATATGTATACATATATAAATATCAGTAATACAAATCCAATAATATCTCTCATAATGTAACCCAAACAGGTGGCATTCTGTTGGATTACTTTAAGTGTTAATAGTGTTTGGGTGGAGGACTTTAAAGGACTAATCCACCTCTGTTTATATAGTGAGTGATACAGAGAGTGAAGCAAATATTACACAAGAAGAGACAGAATGTTTGGAAATGAATCATCTCCTCCTTCTCAAAAAATAGAACATTGGGTCATTTGAGGCAGTTTTAATTAAATTATAAATCTCTCCAACAATACTTAATAACATTGTAAGCACACTTACTCAGTTCAAAATTGAATGTCTGCTGCTCCTCAGTTAGTGTTATGCACTAAACATACAGAATAATTACCAATAATTAAAGGGACAGAAATAAATCTAGTTCCATTCAGGCAGAGCCCTCTACTGTCTGTGAAATACAGTTTTAGGTCTCCCTCGAGGAATGCGTGCTGAAACTGCAGCAACACAGTCAGCCATCCTGCATGCCAAGTGTGTTTTTAGAGACTCTCCACACCCCCGAAGCAGGCATAACTGTCGCATATGAGATATTACACATCTGTCTGTGGATACACCGTGCACCAGATGCTGCAGTAAGTAGCACACCTAACCTCCCGCCACGAGATGGTACACGAAAACCCAGGTGGAATTTTCAGCTGCCTTCTTCCTCCTTCCCGTTTTCTCCTCCCAGCCGCTGCTGTCCAGTACTGGGAGACGCCTGTGGGGGATGGTCCAGACAGGATATTAATGGGGCCCTCCAGCAGTCAGAAAGCCTGACAGAGCCTTGTTTCATTGTCACCTTGCCTTGGAGGACGTGGAAAAACTTGAAAAGCTTATGAGCCCGAATGAAGCTGTCTCTCCCTCGAATTTACTCGATCTCTGCCTCACCGCTTCATTAGACTGTCTTACATCAGAGGCCCGGCTCCTCTCCCTGTTTCCCTAGCACCACTTCAACACACACACTGACACACACACACACACACACAAACACACACACACACACACACACACCGGCACAGGGTGACATCTCCCACCTAATCAAGTAGTGGATTATCTTGTCCTGATAAATTGGAGCTTGTAGCACTTGAAAGGTCCTCGTGGAGGAGTGCCTCCTCCCCCTGGCAGCTAGATCGAGTCCCCAGGGAGGAAGGAGCGAACATCGCCTTGTAATGATTTGTGGTAAATCGGACAGATGTTTTTGGGCAGACCTCTTTCAAGCAAGAAAAAAAAAACACAAGTCAAATTTGGTTTTGACAAAGAGAAAATGCATGAAAGTAAATGAGAGATATGGTGCCATGCTCACTGCTTTTAAAATGACTTAATTTATTGTTACTGCTCACCAAAACTAACTTTTCCTTACTTCCTTTCTTTCTTTTCAGGAGAATCCTTACATGTGTAATAATGAATGTGATGCCAGCACTGACGAGCTCGCCCACCCTCCAGAGCTCATGTTTGACATCGAGGGCCGCAACCCCACCACCTTCTGGCAGTCCACATCCTGGAAGAAGTACCCAAAGGCCCTCCTGGTCAACCTCACGCTCTCTTGGAACAAGACCATCGAGCTGACTGATGACATCGTCCTCACCTTTGAGTCAGGCCGGCCCGAACAGATGGTCCTTGAAAAGTCGCTGGATTATGGCCGAACCTGGCAGCCCTACCAGTTCTATGCCACTGACTGCCTTGATGCCTTCACCATGGAGCCCAAGACGGTGCAGGACTTGACCCAGCACACCCTGCTGGACATCATCTGCACTGAGGACTACTCGCGAGGTTATGTGTGGAAGAATGACAAAACTGTACGCTTTGAGATCAAGGACCGTTTTGCGCTGTTCGCTGGGCCCCGGCTCCACAACATGGCATCGCTTTACGGCCAACTGGACACGACCAAGAACCTGAGGGACTTCTTTACCATCACGGACCTGAGAATCCGCCTGCTCCGGCCTGCCACAGGAGCTACGATGGTGGATGAGAACAACCTGTCCAGATACTTCTATGCCATCTCTGACATCAAAGTGCAGGGAAGGTAAGACCTTCATTTATCTGTTCACGTCTTTCCAAATGGTTAAAATGGACTGTTCACTGCCTCGAGCTCTCAGAGGTCCTGAGGGTGCTTGCCAATTGGTTCTTGTCACTGGATTAATGGAAAATTTGCAAGGGGAATTTTCACCAATCAACTTAAGTGGGATCATTAACGCCCAAACAAGACACTTTTGGCCCTTGGGTGTCTTAACAGATTAGTCCATCCATGGATGTAATGATAACTCTATAGGCTGACATTTCAGCAGTTTTCCTGTGGTGTTACTGCAGCGACAGTACAGCCACACAGTAGTAGGAGAAAAATGCGTTTACCGTTACCATTCTTTCCAATTAGGCAGCGGATCCATAATGATGTGCAGAGTTCATCAGCTGTCAGCATGTCTTAATTAACCAAGCTTGCTGAAGCACTCTACATTTTGACGTCAAATTCATTCAGCTGTCTTCTAGCCTGTAAAAGACATTAGGCATAGCATTTCATACGGCAGGTCACTGCACGTTGTAATTAGTGTTTGATTTACAGAATCCACACAGGGTCATGCAACATGAGAACAAGATGCCATTGTGCTGTTAGGGGAGAGGCCCATGAAAGCTTACCTCGCTTCTCGAAAAATACTACGAGAGCCACAGGGGCATACGCTCAAGTGGATCTGTTTTACACTGTGTGGTTTTTCAATTTAACAGATGTGAATATGGTTGTATGGGGTGAAGGAATGAAGATTTAATTACTCTTGTTTTGCTCTTCACACATGAGAGGGTCGCAGTGCAGGGGTGCAGAGTGGCGGAACGTCACAACAATATGAGGATGAGAGTAGAGGTGTTGAAGCCGGGATGCCAGGCCTTGGCTTGGGAAGAAGAAATAGAAACATCACTACTATGCTGCTCATCTGCAGCAAACATGAATTGTTGTAACCAGTGTGGAAGAATAAATCAAAGGTCACTCAGCTGAATAAGAGAGTGAGCATCAGGTAAAAAATGCTACACTGGCTAATAAACAGTGGTGCTGTAATAACATGTTTGCTATGTACATATTGTCAAATGCTTTGAAACTTCACTTACTTATAAAACGCACTCTAAAACAACCATTTAAAACACTAGGATTTCTGAAAAGCTGACAGAATTACCAATGTCCCTGTTTGTGCTACAGAGAACCAAGATGTATTTCATATGACACACGTTTTATTGGTTCTAAAGGGAGAAGCATGTAAATAGCATCCAGTCTTAAAGGTATATATGTTGCATCCAATCCAAATGGGTTAATGAACCCCTGATTTTCTGATTTCCCTAATGTTATATATATACATATATATATATATACACATTAAAATTTAGTCTTACTGCAGGTGCCCTTGAACAATGGGGCTATGATAATAAATGTCTCGCTCAGAAAATTGAATTTTTGACTTTTCTCGTGATTGAGAAGGTCATTGAGCAAAAATAACTGGAGGGAATTTACTAACACAAAAGAGCTGTATTGGACATCCATTCAACACCCGCTGAAATGAAGGGCCTGTCATAAGCGCAGATTATTTATTCTATCTGACTAATCATGACCGCACTCATACATCCCTGTGGGGCTGTAGATTTGAGCAATGGCTGTGCGCCACCATCGGGCCGCGGTCGTTTACCAGCCCGCTGCGTTTAGAGTGACGCTCGCCTGAGAAATGTTCCCCACTGTTTACCAAAGGTAACACACAGTTCAGCCATAATGAGATACACTCTACACAGAGAGGCTTCACTCTCCTTCCCCCTCCCTCCCATGGCAAATCACTGCTCAGTCCCTTTCTCCATGCATCGTATACAAGACATAAGCTCCTTAACCCCCAGAATACAGTTCTGTGAGACTCGGTGGGAGCGATTTTGCAGGGGCAGTGAGGTTGAATCTGGCATATTTCATTGCACTGGACTCGGCCGTCATTGGCCCGGATCAGGAGCGAGGGGGGATGTGGTGGGAAATACAGTAGGAGGTTTTCTTTTTCTTGCCACAACAGTGTGAGAAACAAGGAAAGGAACGTAAGCTCTTTGCTGAAGTAGGTCAACCTAGAAAAGATAGAGAGGGAAGGAGCACAACTCTGCAGAAGTGGTCGTCTTTGCATCTGTTACATGCGGCTAAAGTTGTTACAGGGAAGCCAGAAGTGTCATGCATGACCATTCCATTGTGCTTGATTACAGGGAAGGCCTGGACCAAAGTCGCTGGGGGGAAAAAAATCAATGCAAAGAATTTCAAATCAAACCAAGCATGGAGCTGTGAGATGGATGTGAACAGTGCATACTGCACGCTGACTTTAATGAATCTGACACGCTCACTGTTCCATTGTAGCAGCCAGGCTAAATGGGTTTGTGGAGAGAGAAAGCGTGGAGAGTTGGGAAGATTTTCTAATTATCGACTGTATGACTTTGGCATAATTGCTCCGCCTCTGTTTTTTCCTGTGCTTTACTGTAACCACAACCAGCAATTTCACCAACTGTCACTCCCCCTTTTCTCCTCCTCCCCCCCTATTCTTCCTCCCACCTTGTGATCAATACAGTGTAATTAAAGTTGGAGAAGATTCAGGCTAAAAGATCTCATTATGACACGTTCTGGTTTTCTTCCTTTTGGGCTCTGGTCCCCTACTTCCTGTTGTTGTCAGTTTTTCCTCTGCAGAGTAGGGTCGTTTCTGGGTCCTTGAATTATAAGAGAAGACCCAGCACCACACCAAACCTGTACAGCTATTTGAGGGATAAACACCTTTCATATGCAAATACACTACCCACCACAAAACAAAAAAAACAATTGCGAGAACTCTAGGTGGGACTTTTGGCACTTTTTAATTGCCAAAATGAACCAGAAAAGCTCTTTTGTTGACTGAAGTTGTAAACTAGCTCTGAATCTGGCAACAGATTCTACTTATTTCTATTTGTGGAATATTTCCAACCCCATCTCCTGCTGTCAGTGCATTAATAAAAATGTACACCCCATATCGTGAACAAAATGTCTAGCTTGTTCTTACCTGTTTGGGTGCAGAAAACAGAGGATAGGGAAAGGAAAAGTTTGTTTTCGACAGTTTACAGCAGCGCAATTTGTGATTCAATTTCCAAAGGATATATATATGCCGCAGGACATTATCAGGGAAGAACAGAAACAATCTCAAGGATTCACAATCCCTTTGACTGCAGGGTAGACAGGGGAGGGGGAGAATCAGTTGGTAGACCTTTTTCCTCTGGTCTAGATTCTGGCCTCACAGAAAAAAGCTACCTCATTGACTCTGAATCCCCATACTGACAATAAACCCCCACATCTTGTGATAATACTCTTGGTCTGGTTTTAATTGTTTCATTGGGACTGCTACTATATGCTTGAGCTCACATACAGCATAACTTTCCATTTTCAAAACTCATTTGGGTGAGGAACAGTCTTGCCTTTTTTCTTTAGGCCTTGAAATCCGAGAATTTGTGGAAGTAAATATTGCAGTTGTGAGTTAGACCCTCCCCTCTTCTTTTGATCACACACAATGAAGACAGTCCTTAAAAAATTATTCATTTATTTTCAGGTTTCAAGGTTGAGTTTCTGCACTCAACCGTGTCTCTCAAACTCACCATCAATGGATTAAACTCATTGAATCTATCTCATTTATCAGTGTGTGCTTCGGAAACAAATATTTATATATTAATGTTTTACTGACATTGTAAATATGTTTGAGTTGAATCACACATAAGTTATAATCCTCTCATTTGAAGTGGACATGATGATAAATTGTGTCGAACTGACCCTGGACTGGAGATGGACGTTTATCAGCAGCAGGATGCGGCTCATTAAACAAACTGCCTTTATGCATCAAAGCCATTTGGGGAGTGTTACACAGTATGAAGCCTTCAGCGTCTCCAGAGCTGCGTCAAAACTGATCAGCTGAATAGCATCAGTTGTGTTTGAAGACTGTTTTGAAAAGTGAGGTACACTAAAGGTGTGGAGTTAGAAAGAAGCAAGCTTACCAGACCGCCCCCTGATGATGGCTCCAGGGTGCACAGGCATTACATACCCCAGCCTGCGACTGCCGAACTGTCGGCCACCAAGTTGCATGGTGGATAATATATATTTTCAAGAAATTAGACTTCTCTGCTATTTATCTCCTGCTGCATTGATTTTGCAAATTTTTGATGTTAGAGGACTGAAAAGCTCTACCTCTGTAGTGCTTCCATTAACATCCCAATGCGCATAGAGTCCTCACTTAATCTGTGAATCTGGATGTTACATCGGGGAAAATGTTTCCATCGGTGAACCACTGTATGGATCAGTATCAGTCTTCCAAAACCAATGAATTGTATGTGAAAACTGATTGAAGTATTGACTAAAGCTGAGGTGAAATCCATCCGTAGCGATCAGATGTGTATTTATTTATCCATTTGGCACATTACACTGCGTAACTGCAATAAGAGGACTGTGTATTTGGGAGGTTGTGCCAAATGCAGCGCAACACATTACACTAACACTGGGGATGAATTATAAGCACTGAAGCGCTGCCGCTACTCTTTAGATATTTGGATCAAGTCCACACGAGTACAAATCAATAATATTCACAAGTGTGATAAAGGGGAGCTCTTATCTGAGGCGTACAAAATATACCATATGTAGGAGATTAGACACTTCATCTGTCCCACGGTGCAGGGGTCACGCTATTAGTGTATTCTAATTGCTGTGTACTTTAGTGCATGTGTGCTTTGGATACAGCTGTTTCAACTACAGATCAGCAGTTTGGTGAGTGATGGCTCTATCGGCTCTCCCCTAAGGGAGGAACAAACAAGAAGTCAATCTGCTTTTTCTCCCCGCTCCCTCTCCCACCATAGTGCTTGGCTTGCTCTTAGGCCTGCCTCTAGTTGACACATAATCTATTTGTGCTAATTTCATGTTTCTTGCTGCCCACTTCCCCCCTGAATAAGTCATTCCACTTGTCTACCCTCCTTAGTCTCTCTCTGTGCCACCATAAGCATCTATTCACCTCACCTTGCGCTGTG